CACACACACACACACACACACACACGTAATGCATACACAAGCTAGGCGAATGCGTCCAGATTGGGGCTGAGTAGGTTGGCCTGTGGGTGAGGTACTGGCCTGGCTCCAAGGAAGGTTAAGGCGTCAAGGGAAACATAATGGGCAAACTCAACGGGCAAACTAATCGCTTTCTGTCCACCCAATAGGCTGCGCTCAAGAGATATGGGTGGTGGGTGAAATGTGTGTGGATTGTGCGTTCGTCTGACTATGCATGGAGAAGGTAGATGCTTCGACGACGACGACGACGACGACGAAGACGACGACAAGAAAAGAGCCGACTTGAAGGAGAAAGAGACTGAGGGCGTGGACTGCAGAAGTGGAATGGGAAAACGGGAAAAGTAATGACTGACGAGGGAAAAGTGTAAAAAGAAAAGCAACGAGGCCATATCTGATCGTTTGATTGTCCTTTTGGCAAATTCTCATATGCAGCCGCCCACCCAATGGTCCGGTACATTGCTTCTATTGCCGATAATGTACCAATAAATTGCACATTAACAATTTTTCCCGATGCCCCGGTCCATCGTGCCACCACTTTTCTCGTCGGACCCGATAAAGTGAGCTGTGTCCACGAAATGGGCACAACTCCAAGCCACCAAGTGCATTTTAGGCGTCTGTCTATTTTTAACTCACTTGTACCGATAAGATTAATCGTCTGCCTGAAGCAGAAGTCTACAGTTTAGCCAAAGAGGAGAAGAGGGCGAAATCGTGCGCATTCGCGGCCAGCGCCGGTGTTCCATGAGACAGAGTTTATGGTTGGATCTTGTTTGCGCAGTCGATCAATCAGATTGTCGGGAATTTGGGCATACAAGAAGCGCTTCAGCTGATGCTATCTTATCTTTGACAGCCGCTAATGGGAAATAATAGGGCATAACAACCAACAGGGTGTAGAGTGATAAAGACTGGCGGACTTGGCCGTGATGCCTGCAAAAAAAGAGGCATCAGCGTATATTATTATGGCGATTGGAAGCTGAGCATAAAACAGGTACAGCGAGCTCTTCGACCGATTGTCTCGATGGCCTCGTGGACAAGCAGAAGCTGAGTGGTGCCTACTTTGGCACCACCGTTTTAAGCGCCGTCAACAGGTCGCTATGATTGTCAGAATTTACGGGATTGTTTAGGTAGATTAAATAGTTTAATTAGTTTTTCGCATTAATTATTGTTTCGGGTCTACCAGTAAATCAGTAGTATGAGATGTATTCACCCAATTTAGTTTAAGGAGATGAAGGATGGGTAGAAGAATTTTCCCACAATGATGTGAGAAGAGCTGACGTTTCCATTTAATTTCACATTGTTGAGCTTACTTCCATTTCGAGTGGAAGTGTTGGGTGAAGAGATTCAAAGGTCGGTTTCCTGTTGACCAGCTGTCGATTGGCTTTACTGGAAGATTCATGCTGACGTTGTTTCCGAGGCAACCTCCTTTGAGTCCGGTGAAAAGGTGCTAAGTTTTCGTCCATCATATGACGGAAATCATCAGAGCGAGGTACCATCGTCACAACAAAATTGAAGCTGACGAGTCAAGAAAACTCTCCGGCAAATCCCTAAAAAGTGGTATCTATACTCTTCACCCAATACTTCCACTCCAAATTGGAAGTAAGCTCAACAATTATGAAACAAGAGATTCCTCGAAACCCAACTTTTCTTCGTATAATTTCGCATTGTCTTGCTTTCCCAAATGTTGTTCTCATTCAGACTGAAGTGGACTGCAGTTTCGACCTCGCATCGGTCGTATCAACACCCCCAGAGGGAGTCAAACCGTGACAGTGCAGAATGGGAGCTTGACACGTTAACCACTCGGTCACATTGCCAAGAGTGCCCTTGGGTCAGAGGGAAAATGTGACTTTTCAAGGAAGGCCAGGCCTTTGATGGGATTCTCGATGAAGCAAACATATATCGAGTGTAGATACGAAGAGAAACTTGATTTCGATGAATCTATTGAAATAACATTGTTAGGGGGACCTTCATTTGGTATGAAAGTGCATGAAGAAGAGATTCGTTTTTCGATCTCACCG